AGGAGGAGGAGGAGGAGGAGGAGGAGGGGAGGGAGGAGGAGGAGGAGGAGGGGAGGAGGAGGGGGAGGAGGAGGAGGAGGAGGAGGAGGAGGAGGAGAGGAGGAGGAGGAGGAGGAGGAGGAGGAGGAGGAGGAGGAGGAGCAGAGACTGGAACCAACGACCTGGAGCCACGGCCCCGGCCTCATGCCTCGCACGCCCCCCCCCCTGGCGCCCCCCGCCCGGGTGCAGCCGCGGCTGCGCGCGCACGTGCGCGCGGCCGGCCGGCTTTCGCGCAGGCCCGCCCGCGGCGAGCTCCTCCTCCTCCTCCTCCTCCTCTCCTCCTCCTCCTCCTCCTTCCTCCTCCTCCTATCTCCTCCTCCTCTCCTCCTCTCCTCCTCCTCCTCCTTCCTCCTCCTCCTCCTCCTCCTCCTCCTCATCCCCTTCTCCCCCCCTCCCCCTTCCCCCTCCCTCCCCCTTCCCCCTCCTCCTCCCCTCTTCCCCCCAGCGCGCGGAGTGCACTGGCGGCGGCGTCAGAGGCGCCGCCAAGACTGGAGAGGCGGGGCATCAGCAGCAGGGCCCTCGCTGGCCATCGCTCGGACGTCCATTTCCTGTGTTTTTTTCGGTTTCGTGCGTGGTTTTTTCGCGAAATGATCCAGGATGCTCCTCGATGGTCTTCGCCGAAGGAAAAGTGCACACGTCCGAGCGATGCCAAGGAGTGCACTGGCGGCGGCGTCAGAGGCGCCGCCAAGACTGGAGAGGCGGGGCATCAGCAGCAGGGCCCTCGCTGGCCATCGTTCGGACGTCCATTTCCTGTGTTTTTGTGTCGGTTTCGTGCGTGGCTTTTTCGCGAGATGATCCAGGATGCTCCTCGATGCTCCTCGCCGAATGAGCGAGCAACGACATGTGTACATGTACGCCCTCCGCGGTCTTGCGTGCACGAACCTCCGCGTTCAAACGCAATTCGGCGGAAACAAACCGCGTACATGTACATATGTTGTTGCTCTCTGACCGAAGGAAGACCTGACCGAGAGCAACAACATATGTACATGTACATATGTTGTTGCTCTCTGACGTACATGTACATATGTTGTTGTGGCTTTTTCGCGAAATGATCCAGGGTGCTCCTCGATGCTCCTCGCCGAGGGAAGAGTGCACACGTCCGAGCGATGCCAGCAGCAGGGCCCTCGCGGCCGCAGCCTGTCGGGGGCCGCGCGGCTCGTGGGGGCCCGCCGCCGAGGCCCCTCGCTGCGCCACGGCGCCACCCGTGCTGGCCATCGCTCGGACGTACGTCCACTCCCTGTGCTTTTTTGGTTTCGTGCGTGGCTTTTTCGCCAAATGATCCAGGATGCTCCTCGATGGCCCCCGCCGAAGGAGAAATGCGCACGTCCGAGCGATGCCACCCCAGCCGTGCTGGGCGAGAGCCATGGGGACGGCGGGCCCCAGGCTGGGCGTGCTGAGACGGCCCCGCGTCGACCTGGGAAAGCCTCACGGATTTCCGAACCATTTTGTTCCCATGTGAAAAGCAGGGATCTCTTGTCCTGAGACGGCCCCGCGTCGACCTGGGAAAGCCTCACGGATTTCCGAGCCATTATGTTCCCATGTGAAAAGCAGGGACCTCTTGTTCTTCATGTGACGCCTCCGCCTCACCTTCACCGCTCTGCCCTCCTTTCCGCCTCCTCCTTCCTCCCTCTCATCAGTCACACTCAGACTCACTCACACTCATGCCCGCTCACGCTCAGTCCACCTGCATTCAGACTCATCCTCATTCAGACTCAGTCACATTAAGATCCATTCGCACTTAGACCTACCCATACTTCGACTCACATACAAACCATATCACACTCATACCATATTCATTCCACTCATACTCAGCTTAGTCATACTACGACTCACACTTACACGCGCAGACTACTCACACTCTGATCTGTCACGCTCAGACTCACCCATGCTCATACCCGCGCCCAGGCTTGCCCACACTCTGTCACTCAAACTCAGATCCGCTCATGCTCGCTCCTCGTACCCAGACTCGCCCATGATCGCCGCGGTAAACAGGCGTGCAATTTGAGCACTACACAGGGGAACTCGCCAGAGGGGGGGTCCTCGCTCGGTTCGCGTCCATATTGTGGGGATGTCGCGAGCGAGGCGTTGGTCTGGCTGCTCCAGCTCCCCTTGAGAGCTCCATGATCACCACGAAATAACAAACATAGCAATTGTGCACCTCAGAGAGGAGCCGCCAAGGGGGGGATGTTTGCCTGTTCGCGTCCAAATTGTTTGGATGTCCTTTGAAGTTCGCGCGTTTGGCGTGGCCGACTCCTCTCTTTTGAAATCCTCACGGCCACGGCAATACAGCAAGCAGAGCTCTTGGGGATTCAAAGTGGAGCCGTCGGGGGGGGGGGGGGCACTTGCCTGTTTGCGCCCAGTCTTCTTGGACATTTCTACAGCTACACGCCGGCTTGGGCACCCCCAAGCTCCTCCCTTTTCGAAGCCCCATGGCCACCGCGATGTCGTAATCATCCGCCCTCGTGCCCGCTGGCACGTTGAGGCGTGGAAGGATGCCAAGGCCTATATGATAGGGTTTCTGAATTTCAAGAAATGGCCGTCCTTCCCTCTACCAGCGGACTCCTGCGTGCACTGCCCCTCCTTCCCGAGGCTACTCCCCTCGTGCCCGCTCGAGGATCGTGCACTTAGCTAGTGTTCGCAAACGCCCATCCCGCGCGTGGCCACTCGAGGATGGCACACTTCCCGCACGGCGGCTAATGCCCGAGACCCTCTTTTCACGCGTGCCATTTCAAGAAAGGTGCATTTCCTGCAGTGCAGGTAACGCCTAAACTCTCATTCCATGCGCGCCCAATCGAGGATTATGCACTTCCCGCATGGCTGCTAACTCCTCGGCCCGTTTATCCCATTCGCACCCGTTCAAGGACCGTGCACCTCCCACATTCCCAAATATTGCTCCAGGGTCTCCCAAACCACGATCCTCCGTTAGACACGATGGATATGCGCCCCGGGTTCCCCAAACGACTCGCGCAGGCAACCAAGAACACCGAGATGACCCAAGATACCTGGAAGACGGCCCACTATGCCTCCAAGAGGGCCAAACATGGCTACAAGAGGACCTCCAACAAGGTCCGATGAAACTCAAATCACTGATTCCCGAAATGGTCTTCGAATGAGTTGACCACTGTCGCCTTTCCGGGCTGCCGTCAGCTCAAGAGGCATCCAAGATGGCCCAAAAGGGCTTCCCATGGGACCCAAGACGGCCTTAGAAGGTCCTTCGACGGCCCAGCACGGCGCCAAAACGGCCCCACGACGGCCCCCCAACACCCACCATGCGGCCAAAAAGGGCCACGAGACTGCCCAAGAGAGACAAGCCGATCAGAGCGCCTCCGAGCGGGACCCCCCTTTCCCCCCGTCGACTCCTGGCACGGCAGCCTTCGGCCTTGTTGGGCGGGGGAACTTTCCGGGGTTATCCCTGGTGTATAATATATATACACATTCACATACTATAGATATAGTATGTGACATACTATACTATACATTTACACATATACTATATACATACCATACCATACATTTACACATACATATATAATATAATATAGTATACATACATACGCACAACCAATTCGGGGTACAGTCTTTCCCCCTTCAAATTCACGGCGGGGAGGCCACTCCCGGCAACCCCCACGCACTTCTGAGTAGTTCCCCGTCTGAGATCACAGATACAAATCAATCCCATAGGACTTCCCACCACAGCGCCCACACGTGCCAATTTTACCCAAGATGAGTACACTTTCGGAGCGGGGATGTGATCATCATCGACCTCACCAAACTCGTCATCATGACCACCACCACCATCAGCAGCATAATCACAAGCATTACGATTACCGCCCCCACCATCATCAGCAGCACCATCACCGTCTCGATCATGAGCATGCTCATGACCACGATCAGGATGATGATCAGCACTGCCATCGTCATCATCAACATCACGAACACGGTCATCATCATCGTCAGCGACACGATTGGAATCATCACCACACCACCATCATCACCATCGCCATCACTATCATCATCCGTATCACCATGATCACCATCCTCACCATCATCAACATACTCATCGTACGCATCATCATAATCAGCATCACCAACCTCATCACCACCATCATCTTCATCATCGTCGGCATCACCTCCATCATCCTCATGATCATTACCTCATCACGGCTCTCCCAAGACGTGAGGCACGACGTGGCACACGTGACGGGCTCCAGTGCCCCTCGAACAGTCGCCACCCACAATGCTGGGCTAGCACGGTGGAAGGAAGCGCCGCAGGCATCTGGATAACACTTCGTAGGGACATATCAAACGAAACGCTGGTTGGGGCGCCCTCGATTATTCTCCCTTGAAGTTTCCGATGCCATCCCAGTGTAACAGACATGACATGGCATAACACTTGGGCAATCCAAGGGGGAGCCGCCAGAGCCCTCAGCCGCCACAGGCTAAACTCGTTCACGCAGACGCTCACAGCGGGAAGTGTCAGGAATGCGCGCCTGTCCACTTACTGTGGACGAGAGATATGCCTACGGCGCGTGGACGAAGAACTGAACTACTTACCGAACGCACGCTTGCACGCGCATTGAATCGACCAAGCCGTTGGGTCGAAGAAGGCGAGCCCCATAAAACTGCCAGCATACGTAATAGTTAGAGCCGACAGCATGTATCGACTACATCTTCGGTATCGAGCGTTTCTTGGGTAAATGAGATGCACATGTGGGGACCTCCGCGTCGAATCTTATCTTTATGATGAAAAAGACTCCACGTCCGAGAGCGCACTGACGCTGCTGTGGTGATGTGGCTGCGGCGAGCCCAGAGGAGAATAAAACGACGGCCGACATAGCGAAGTATGTAATGTCAATGGGGGGGGGAGAGGAGGACGGGGGAGGGTGGAGGATGGAGGAGGAGAGAGAAGGGAGGCGGAGAGAAGAGGGAGGGAGGAGGGGGAGCAGGAATGAAGTTTTTTTTTATGACGCAATAATCATCCGACGACACATTGAATGCCTGAACCCAATTGTCAGGTTTCCCATCGAACGTGACTCATGAGCGCTCAAGTGTAGCAGATGTTTCGGCCCGACAAATTTAAGCGGGCCTCGCTGCGAGCACCGCTCCCCTCTTCCGAGGGTTCTTGGGCGCGCCGACGCGTCCCTGTCGTTCTCCCAGGCATCGAAGGCGTCCAAGACACCTTCCGAACCGGCCTAGCCACCATCGGCAATGAATGGGAGACTGGGCCTCGATGCTTCCCCTCTGAGCACCCCTGAAAATGTACTCTGTCTTGGAGCAAAAGAGCTTTTTTTGCTTAACATGTTTTTGGTGATGTTTTTTTGGGGGGGCAAAAAAACCCTAAATGCCCCCCCCTGCCGTTGCCCCTGCCCTGTCGGGACCCCGGAACGAGGTCGTGATCATAGTCGAGCTTTGGGGAGCGGATCGGATCGGGTCGGGCCGTGAAAGGCCCGCCAAGGAACCGCACATCTATAGACGTAAAACATGTATCTATATATACAAGCATAAACATTGGTACTCCAGATTTCGTAATAAAAGGGAGGGGGTCTCATTTCGGGGGGGGGTCGGGGGGGTCTCTTCCAGGCTGTCTTGGAGGGCCTGGGGGGGTCTGGGGACGATGTTTTGGAGGGTTCTCCCACGGGGGGGGTCTGAAATGGCTTGTCTTGGAGGGTCCAGACCCCCACATGTGCATCAATCCGCCGACTCGTCGTCGTCGTGGTCGTGGTAGTGGTCGTGGTCGTGGTCCTGGTCGTGGTGGTCGTCGTCGTCGTTGCCAAGACGCCGCCGCGAGGCTCTCCTTGGGCGCCAGCCAAAGCTGAACAGCCTGCGCGAAATTGTGCAACGTCGTAATTGAATCGAAGGGACGCCCCTTCCCTTGGATCCCTTTCCCGCCGAGGGGGGTGGTCCCTGGGGGGGGGGAGCCCAGGTCAGAATACCATCCCCCCTAAGGGGTCCCAGGGCCCAAGAGGCCACCCAAAGGCACCCACGAGGCCCCCTGGCGTCCCCAAGGAATCGCCATCCACGGCAAAACAGCCAAAGCGAAATTGAGCAACGTCGTAGTTGAGTCGAAGGGAAACCCCTTCCCCAGGATCCCTTCCCCGCAGGGGGAGGAGGGGGGTCCCGGGAGGGGTAGGGCTTGGGGGCCCCGGGTGGGTCCCAAATCATAATGCTACCCCCTTGAAGAATGCCGGGGCCCACGAAGCCTCCCACAGGCCCCCACGAGGCCCCCAGGCGCCCACAAGGAATCGCCAGGAAACCCCACGAGGCAGGCTCCTAAGACACCCCCAAAACTTCGTGGGGGCTCTTGGGCACCTCTTGGGGCCCTGGTGTAGCCTCTGCGGCACTCGTGGGAGCGTCTGATCCCGACCTTCTCGAATGCTTCTTCCATCATGGGCATTGTCGTCCAGGGTCGGCGGCAACGGCCGTAATCCCTTAGCAATATCCGCCACCGTGCCTCGAGGCGCGAAGCCAAGTGTTCTCTAGGCTTTAAAAATGATCGGAAAACTGTATTCAATGCCGTATTGCTCCAGATCGGGGCCAGGAGCCAAAATCTAAAATCTTCCGGGCGCTTTCGCACGCTTTCGGGCTTCCCCGCCAGAGGCTCCAAGACGGGCCAAGAGGCTCCCAAGAAGCGTCCAAGAGGGCCCACGAGGCCTCCAAAACGGCAGAAAAATTCTCCAAGACGTCCAATATGGTCCCAAGACGACCCAGGAGGCTCAAGACGCCCCAAAAGAGTTCCAAGAGGACCCCCAACAGGGCCCCACGGGACAAACATTTTTTAACAAAACAACAAGCGGCTTTTGGGCGTTATCACCGCTTCGGGTTTCCAACGCTCCAAGACGGCCCAACATATTGCAGACAACGCCCCATGTATGTACGTATGTGTGTATGTAGATGTGTGCGTGCGTATGTACGTACGGATGCACTTAACTGTGTATGAATGTATGTATGTATGACTTGTATGTAAGCATGCGTATTTGACAATATGTGCACCCCCATGCATGCATCGATGCACACGCGTTCATTTATACATGGTTCTATCTCTCTGTGTATATATGTATACCGATGTGTTGAAGTGTTAACCAACGTAGACTCCAACATGTGTGCTTCTAGCAACATATGTTGTGCAATATATTTAGGACAGTCTCTGCGGAGAAGATGTGTACAGTGAAATCTGTGCTGTGCGAACTATGTTGTGCAACCTATGTTGTGCAATAGAAGTAGTGCGACCTCTGGGGTGCAACCGACGTTGTGCAATACATGTGGAACAATCTTCGCGGTGTAACCTAAGTGGTGCGACTCAATGCTCAACCTGAAGCTGACAACTCCACTGCTCGCGCAACCATCCCACCCACCCACTCGCAACTTGGTTTGCAAAACCCATGCGGGGGCGATTGCGATGAATACTTGGTGTTGGCTGGTGCATCTCTGCGGCCGCGCCAGCCCGCGCATGCACGCGCGCGCGCAGCGGCCAGATAGTTTGGCGCGACCGACGCAGGCGCAATGTTGCTGACTGCTGGGCACATCCTAGCGGGCACTGCCATGCGAATCGGCGACTTGGGCGGGCGCGGTATCATGGAAACGTCGACAACGGCAGACACGATGATGAGATATGATGCTAATTGCGGTGCTGGTGGCGATGTTGACAACGACGACGGCGCGGCCAGTGACGGCGCCGATGCTGATCACGCCGACGACGATGATGGCGTCCACGCGTCGGTGATGAAAGTTTTGGAAGGAGTTCGACATGCGCGCGCGGCCGACGCGCGAGAGTGGCCAGCATGGTATTTATCGACGCGGACCGTGACCCCCTCAAAACACGTGCGCAAAAGCGTTCGCATGATTTCGGCATGCGGCGCGAAAAGTCCGTTTGGCACAATTCCGTGAGAGTTTTGAAACACCCATGGGTTTCTTCCGGGTTCGCGAGAGCGCGAGCGCGAGTTTTTTGTTGGGGGTTGAAAACGGTCGTTGCGAAACCACATGTTTTCTATATGGCTTCGGGGCGTTCGGTTTTGAAATCCTTACGAAACCTCCGAATTTAAGGGTTTCGGCATGCGCGCGCGACGACGCGCGCGCGTGCACGTCGTCCACCTGTTGCAGAAGATGCTTGCGACAGCACGCGCGCGCGGGCGTTCGAACGATTTCGACATGCGCGCGCGAAACCTGTTTGGTAGCATCCTATGCACATGTTGCAAAACCGATGGTTTTCTTCAGAATTCGCAAGAGCCCAAACGCAAGTTTTGTTGAACATCCGTGTTGCGAAACCATGTGTTTCTATGTTGTTCGGGCGTTCGGTCTTGAAATCCTTGCGGGGCCCAGCGTTGTGGAAGGATTGCGGCATGCGCGCGCGACGACGCGCGCGCGTGCACGTCGTTCTTTTTTCTGTGTGCACGGGGTTGTTGGAAACTTATGATTTGCGATTGACGAGCACGCGCGCAGAATCTTTGTTGCAAAGGATGATGGGTGGGGGTCGATACTGGCCTGGCTGGGGCGGTATGAATTCACATTTAGGATGGACAGTGGGGCATAATCATCTGACAATTACAATGCGAAAAGGTTCACCGCTTAACCTTGGCGCGTGTGTGCACGTGTGTGCACGTGTGTGTGTGTGAGAGTGTGTGGGGGGTGGGGGGTGGGGGTGGTATCTCTGTGCAAAGTGGCTTGTGTGTTTCTTGCTTTATTCTCTTGCACAGCTGTGCTCTAAAGCTCGGACATCTTTACTTTCGTCGTGGTTCGTGGTGGTTCGTCCCCCTCGGCCCCTCCCCTGAGCCTGAGCCCCAGCTCCCCTGGGCCACCCACCCTTCGGAGGCTTGCTCCGTCCAGGCTTCCCAGGACAGCCCCTCTGGGCCGCGGACATCTTTATTTTCGTCGTGGTTCGTGGTGGTTCGTCCCCCTCGGCCCCTCCCCTGAGCCTGAGCCCCAGCTCCCCTGGGCCACCCCCCCTTGGGGCCCGTCCTCCGTCCAAGCTTCCCAGGGCAGCCCCCCTGGGACGGATATCTTTATTTTCGTCGTGGTTCGTGGTTCGTGGTCGTTCGTCCCCCTCGGCCCCTCCCCTGAGCCTGAGCCCCAGCTCCCCTGGGCCACCCACCCTTCGGAGGCTTGCTCCGTCCAGGCTTCCCACGGCAGCCCCCCTGGGACGGACATCTTTATTTTCGTCGTGGTTCGTGGTTCGTGGTGGTTCGTCCCCCTCGGCCCCTCCCTGAGCCCGAGCCCCAGCTCCCCTGGGCCACCCCCCCTGGGGGGGACCCCCCTTAACCGAGGAAAAAACCAAACCGAGGAAAAAACCAAACCGAGGAGAAACCCAAACCGAGGAAAACCGCGAAATCTCCTCCGAGGAAAACGTCTCTCTCTCTCTCTCACTCTCTCTCTCTCTCTCTCCCTCGAGGAAAAAACAAAGCAAGACAATACTAGGGCTCCCCCCCGAGCGAAACAAGAGCGCGTCGCGGCGCCCCAAGGTCCTCCCACGGCAGGAACGACGGGCCAGACATATTTTTCCCGACGCTCCAAGATGGCCCAAGAGGCCCCCTCATCCTCCTCCCCCTCCCCCCCCCCTCTCCCTCCCTCTCCCCCTCCCCCTCCCCCTCGTCCTCCTCCTCCCCCTCCCCCTCCCCCTCGTCCTCCTCCTCCTCCTCCTCCTCCTCCTCCTCCTCCTCCTCCGGGGCCGGCGGCGACGCGGGCCCCGACCAGGCGTAGCGCTCGGCCTAATGTAGCTGTTTCAGCTTAAGGCGACAAGTAGAGTTGCTCAGGCCCAAGTAGAGCCCAACGGGCTGCAGGAGAGGACGACGAGGTCAAGGAGAACGAAGAGGACAAGGAATACAAGGAGTATGAGGACGAGGTAATGTGGATAATCAGGGATGGGGTGGGGAACCGCGGCAGCTCTGGTGTTGCAGCAACTGCGGCAGCTCTGGCGTTGCAGCAACGCGCGTACGGGCTAACAGGCCCGCTTCTGGACAGGAACCCAAGCTTCAGACAACTTGGGGCGCGACAGACAGCATCAACACCATCATCATCATCATCATCATCATCATCATCATCATCATCATCATCATCATCATCATCATCACCATCATCATCATCAGCAGCTGAAGCATCACCACCA